TCTTTATTGATCAGGCATTTAACAAATAATAGAAGTCATTAGTCTCATTGTAACATCAAATCTAGTGCAAGTGTGTATTTAGCCAAGTCTATGGCATGCCGTGCTTGCACAAGATGAAAGCGATTCGTGATGCTGATAGTGTATTGACAGTTTATGATAATGACGCGCACTGTAATTTTTTCCGAGCGCAACCGCCAAATATACAATTGACGTTAAGCTATCATGACAGCAGTTCACGCTTAAAAGAAAGGCATGCTTATCGTTAATTTTAAAACAATAAATTGTACAAATCGACAATGACAGATCGACATAGAACAAGTTTCATCGAAGACTCTGCTACTATTACTACCGGAGGTAGACTTGTCGGGTTACGTGGCTCGACTCAATAAGGTTTCTCAGCGTTTGAATATGTTGAGCTTCAAATCAAAAGAATGGCATCCCAGCGCTGTGGAACTTGGCCTTATATAAAGCACAATTGGCGCACATGCTCTAGCATTGATGGATTTCATATTAATGTTCAGCGCAAATTCATCTCACTCGTTTTAACATTTCCTTTTTCTACCATCTAGAAAATCATTTTCTCGTCCAGTTTTTTTGGTCGTTCTGTAGCCTGAACCACGATATATGCTGCATGGTCTACCAGTACTATTTGCGTCTTAGTTAGTCATAATATGGGACTTAGCAAAAGTAGAGGACGATACATAACATGTAATGCAAGTAATTGGGAGTCTCACGAAGGCGATCTGATCGTGCCAATCGTTTTCACTGAAATCGGTCAAAATATAGTAGCGTCTCTTTGTCGTAAGAACAATAATTAAAATGAAGTCGTTGAAATAACTAATAGCGTATCTCGCTACAAAGATGTTGCGTAAGTTTCCGTCTCACTTGCCAGTTCTCGCATAAGTCTGCATCACCTGATTTGCGCATATGATAGGTCAGCCGAAAATTTGGAACGAGAACGATTAAAATAACATCAAGTAAAACGATAGTAATTTATGTGCAAAATTCATATTAACTACAAGGTGTGCACAACAATCTGACGCTTACAACTCAAAATCCAGTAATTCCGTCTTTTTGCAGCACCCTTACCACACCATAAATTAATGTGCTTCTCAGCTCGTCGTTATCTTTGTCTCACATCTACAGACCAGAAAGTCACAACACTCATGAGAAAGTGTCCAGCTAATGTAAAACATTACAAGGGCACCTATATAATGTCCGTGGCCCGCATCTCGAGCCACCTGCGTCATTTGTGGCAGTCTTGAGCCAGTACTGGGACGCTGTAGACATTCAAAACTGTTGTTTCTTGACAGATTGCTCAGCATGACCGCTCGACCTAATTAAAGCGATCGAGATAGTGGTTTTCTTGATCTCTTGTGCTTTTTCGGCTTCAAAAATCTACGCTTGGTAAGCTTGATTAGTGCATGGCTTGTATCCGTTGTATTTTAGGTGACGTGCAGGGTTACTTATCCATACTTCTTGCCTCGTAGTCAAATATTCTGCATTAAGTAAAGGTTAACGTGGAATTGCCAGTCACACTACCAAATTGATTGCATAAAATCATTTATTTGCCACCTACAAGTCAAGCAATTGTTGGCATAATTTTAGTAGCATAATTTTTGTCCGTTTTGGGTACGTTTTCCCACCTCATCAATACCTGGCATGAACATGTCGGAAATGGGGTTTGCTATAGCGGACACTTCCTTCTAGTCAACGCTCCTGCTGCCAGTTGTGGTAGTAAGTGTGTATTAAATACGTAGGTACACTAAGATCTAAGAGATGACTTGTAGAGTTTGCGCAAGAAAGATAAGAAAATTCTATTCTATTGATAAAGCCACGGACAAGGCCCTAGTAGGGACAAAAACGCGTCTGACCAGCGCTTCGTACATAAGTCTTTCATCACATTTCTTCGATTTTTAACAGATAATTCGTGTTGTCGCCAAGAGACTTCATCTCGCTTAATCAAAAAATTTCAATTGCGCTGGTTGCCGACATCCTGGATTCTCGCCAGCAGTGCTTACATCTTGGCGAATTCGTCTGCCTTCTCGCCATGCTAGAACATCATTAAGTTAAATTGTTTAAGAGTGAATGCCAAAATTAGTCAAATGGTGAATAATCGAGTGAATTACAATTAAAGAGATACATTTTATACGACAGTGTGCCCTGTGCCACGTGTCTGCATTCTATAGTCTTTGACAGTCTCTGAGGAAAACTGTATGTGATGTTTTGTTATCGGATGAAGGGGGATGCGAATAAAAAGTGGGTGTGCGTATAACCATGACGTAGAAAGATGCTAAACGGCTGGGTTCATTTTAATACGGCTGGTTCATTCAAGAAAGATTTTCATATATAGCTCAGAAGCGCCTCCATTTATGTGAGAAGCAGATTCTATTTACTCAATGCAATATTACTATCTACCTCATTGCCTTGCCATGCTTAAAATGACGAAATTAGTGTAATTTAAGCCTAAAACCTTACTTAAGTCCTTACTTCCTGTTTTTAAGGTTCCCTTCGGAGAAGAGTGCAGCGACTTTTGACGCCATTTTGAGCGCGATGTTCACCTCGACACCACACACAGGTAATCACGTCACGATGCATAATGCATCGGATTGATCACGATCTTTCTTGGCGAGGCTATCTTTCAAGCACACAATAATGTTAGTGGCACGCTCTTAGATAACTAACTCGATAACTCCCACAATTCTCTATCACCAAGACTGTTACACTGTATGACGATACAACAACATGAATTCAAATAGCGTTTTTATGCCGTATATTTTAAGTTACCTAGCCAATAAAAAGGGACCCAGCCTTTTAGCATTTGCCTGATTAATTGAGTCTGTATACTCTTCAAAGCGTTATCAATACAGTGTCACTTAGCCGATCATTTCAGTATTTTGTGCCGTAAAAGGAGTGACATACGTTGTATTCTACCAACAATCAGTTGTTTAACCTCGATTTTTGCTGATTAGGTAAGAATTTATGTCGTCTATGTACTTTATCAAATTTGATTGGCTTCTTACTTGCTGTGTTATATTTTACTATTTACAGCATAGCAGTAAATAGCAAAATATAACACACTTGCTGTGGAAAACGTGATGACCTATGACACATTACAACCTAATTCATAAGCTCAAGATTTGCTTGTGGCAAGTATGAGATCGTAAATTACCATGTGATCGGTGCAAACTCTGTAGGAAATCTAAGAAGTATGATGAAAGACTTCTGTATCGAAGCGCTGGTCAGAAGCGTTTCGGTCCTCACCAGGGGCCTCGTCACTGGCTTTAACATTTAAGACGTGAGTTCTACTCTATCCTGCGCTAAATACTACAAAGTTCCTCATAGATCTTAGTGTAACCACACATCTACCACACAGTAACTGCCACGACCGGCAGCAGGGGCGTTGACCAAAAAGGGGTGTCCGCTATGACAACTCCATTTTTCAATCAAAATCACCGAACTGAGTCTTGGCTCTATGGCACTTGCCATTGGGTGCCACCTGTGAACACCAGTTTTCCATATACCGCCATGACTGTAGTAAGAGCTACGTAAAAAAAGGCGTTTTTGCAGCTTAGAAATCGACAGTTTGGATCGGAATATGATTGGCCTTTTGCTCAGTGCGGCAAAGCTACAATCTTCCCTCTGCCAACCTTTAGTCTCGGTAGACCAGCTTTCCTATTAGCTATCAGAGAGTGTTAGTTATCGGATGATAATGGCCTCGAACACATTCATTAGTAAATCAAATTCAACGATTAAAAGCTTATATGTTCGACGGAACCGCCCGTCCCACTTCAATCTCTAACGTTCAGTCACTTCAAAACTAGCAGATTAAGATCCCCATGGACCATCAACAAAGTTTCGAGTCTTTCGTTGCTAAACCTAGTACAGGTTATTTCTCAAGGTCAGAGACACTTAGCCATCCTGGTCGTTTGCTGAAGTTAAGGTTCTTTGTGAGAAACAGGGTGTACTCTTTTTGGCTGACTCTCTTTTGATAATCTTCTCAACTTTATCAACGAAGGAAGAGCCTTAGCCAGATTTTGATGATTTAATAACGTAAAAGCGTTGCCGGAAGAGGAGGAAGAAAAATCGGAGTCGCAGCAGAGGAGGAGGCAGTTGCAGACAGGATTACCAAGTTCGAGATGATCACCGTCTTAGAAGGTTCCTGTAGCTTACCTTATGTTTCTCAGAAAGCTCATTCCGCCCACAAAATTCTCCACATCCTTCAGGCTGACGTTCGCAGTGTCACTACCATACAGACTACCCTCGACGGTTGACTTGAACAGCTTCACTCCTCACATTTGGTACAAATTCCACCTCTGCACATGTTTTTCGAGCTTTTCTGCTATGACTTAAAAGTTATGACTTAGCGACCATAGAATCACAATGGAACGACCATGGTGGACGTCCCTAGTGAGCGACCATAGAACGACCTCGGTGGACGGCTTATTCTATAAGCTAGCAGTGAATATTACTTATCGGAGGGGAAATTATCAAAGGGAGGTCTGAATTTCCAAGCCAGATTGGTTCGTCGGACGCAAAGAAACGAAAGCCATCGAATTTACACGATGCTTCTATTTGTAACGATACCTTGTCAACGATCTGAACATGTCTGCCTTAGAATGTTCGCGTGATAGACGCGATTCAGAGTGGCACCAAACTTGCTGCACTAAGGGTAAAGGTGGACTTCGGCTCTGCGGTTCCCCGAGGTTACACCTGACCCGATTCAGCCACTGACCTGCTACCAAGGTCGAAACTGATTACAGCCACACAGCGTCGCGCACAATCGCAAAGTCTGCTGCTCCGAAGGAGGGAGAAAGAAATAGGTCTAGTCGCGCAGCGCACACTTGGCAAGGCAATAACAGTCGACTTGTAGTTGCATCGACGTGAGCACAACTATTGCCGCCGCACTAACGTGGACTAGCTCGGTTATTGTTTCGACAGCACGGAGACGCGTGACGTATCGGCCATACATCTAATCACCTTCCTTTCGTTTGCTGACGATGCACATCACTTTGCCAACGGACACAATCGCCATTTCGTTGCGACTTCGAACGTACCACGTAAAGCGTCAGGCATCGCGAAATACACTTGGCAGAAATGTCCCGTCAAAGTGGATCGAGCAATCTCCGTGGTGGACGCAGAAAGGGCCAGTACAAATCCGCTCGATGCATTCGTCGCCACATGACATCTTGTCGACACTCGAGGTCGCGCAAGTCCAAGGTAAGTCTGGCTGGACCTTTCCCCTCCTTTCCTCCCTCGTCTCTGTACCCAATTCCACCCCCTCGAAGCCACTTCTGCTCTGAGCTTCGTGGAACAGCCACATAAATATCAGCAGTCCCCGTTTCTGAGACCGCTGAGACCCGAACCGGCTGTTCTCATTGGCCAATAATCGAGTCTCTCATTCATGTCCGGGTGCTATCCATCCCCTCCTGACCATCTCCGTGATCTCCAATCAGCTCACATCAGCTGCCCATCCGCCTGCGCTGATTGGATGAAACAAAACATCCGCCATCGCGACCGCTTCTTCGAGTTGGCCATGTCTCCTCCGCACTTCCCTTCGACTATCCCCTGACCTCTAGGTACGCACTCCCTCTTCTGTAGCCATTTCACATGCACAGCCAGTGGCGAGCCGCTCCGGAATCGACCTACGCGTCGCAAGCAGCTCGATGGAAACAAGGCTTCAACGCCCCGGCTCCTCCCCTCCAGCCACAGCAGCAACAGCCATCACCGGATCAGACAGACCTCGAGAACGCGCTCGTGTCCGAACTGTGTTCGTCGCTCGGGTCCTCCTCGTTCCCGCCACGCGAAGTGCTGCAGAAGCTGCTGAGATACTTGCACACACTGGACCATGACGTGGGGTGCCTGCCTTTTCCTTCTCTTGTTTGTCGGTCATTTGCTTTGATTTCTACCTCGATAACTGATTTCTGCCGTCGTCTCTTCCTCGGTGCTCCCTCTTCTATGTAGTACATTTGTGAGCTCCTGGATGACAAGTTCGAGAGCTATGTGTGGCAAGTTAAAGCCAAGGCGCTGTCCGTGCTCAGTGCGCTGCTGAGTAGCACGGATGCCGAGTTTTATAAACAGTATTACAGTGGACGACTGGACCTGCTGCAGGAGCTCCGAGGTGCGAGGAAGGACATGTTGCGCAAACGCGCGGACAAAGTGTACGCGCTATTGAGCGACAGTGTGCCGACTGCAGACAACGAGAGTGTGTTGAAAATGATGCACAGGATACGGGACGACGACGACGCGCGAGCTTCTGAGAAGCAAGCGCTGATGCACACGTTGCCTGTTCTGGCGTCTCAGCAGATTCCGTATGAGTCGAGGGTGGACACGAACAAGTCGCCGCGTAGTAGCAGTGCACCACTGCCTAGTGTACTGCCGGGTGCTATTGATGAAACGTCGACGGCATTTCATTTCTTGGCCGTATCGAAAGACGAACCTCGCGAGGAGTATGCGCCGGCTCAGATGGCAGCCGAGCCGTTGACACCTCCAGTGAGCAATTCGGCGTTTGGCTTTCTCTCTGTCAATGGAGGCGAAATGGACTCGTTGCCGCCGACGCCACCGGGCTCGGTTGGCCCCAAGTTTAGTGTTGTCGCACGGGGTTCATCTTCCAAGAATAACAACTCACCGGCACTCGTGGCCCCGCGGAACATGCCGGTACCCTCTGCACCGCCATTGGGGACAGACTCCTCCGGCTTTAGTTTCCTGAGCCAAACACCTGTAGCGAATGGTGCGTATGCCAGTGAAAACGGTATGCCAGCGTTTGCTTTGATGAATCGACAGGACCAGCCGCTGCAACAACAACAGCAGATAGAAGCTTTGGCTGTCACACCAGCTCCACGAGTAGCATCGACGCTTCAATACTGTCACTCGGTCTTTGATACACTTCCCCAGCCGACGCCATTTGAGCCTAGCCAGGTGATGTTGGGACCCGAGAAGGAAGAGAAGAAGGTGGATGCAAGCAATGTGTCTGACCCGATTTACGATCCCTTCGAGGGCTTGGATGCAAATGATGTTGATCAAAGACTGGACTCGTATGACGCTTACACACCGTCACATGATTTGGTGCCCGAGGCAAACGAAAGCGTTGCACCACAAGCATTGCAATTGAGTGAGTCGCTGCGAGAAGTGATACTTGAAATTGACGTGCCACCAGGACCTACGGGTGTAATGCTGGATCGAACCATTCCCGACATGACTGTAATCGAGCGGTTTGTGCCCCTGCCGTCGGGTGGGCGTGGATATCTAGAACTTCACCCAGCTATATGCCCCGGCTGTGCTTTGATTAGCATTAACTCGGTTATCGTGGAGAATAAAGGGCTAGTCGAGGTGGGGCCCATATTAGCTGCTCTCGCTAACGCCCCCAAGCTGCTGCGCTTCAAGAAGCTCATGAACAATGGCCGGACTGCAAACCCGTCGACACTTCAGATGCCTTACGTCCCTCCTCCACTCGAAGAAGAGGTACAGGGCTCATCAGACGAAAAAGGCGTGGAGAGGGAGCCTGAGTCCGAGGATATTCGCATACTTGGAAGTTCGAGCGGCGAAGCGTTTATGACTCGCTTGAACGGGTACAGCAGTGAGTTGTGCGAGATTGAGGCAAAGCTCAAAGAGATCATTCGCCGTGAGTACGATGGACAGCTTGTTGCAGACCGCCGCAATCAGCTAGCCCAACTCCACGGCCACGTGGAAAAGATTCAGACCGAGGGCATTGATTCTGTAATTTTGGGGGAGCGTCGGCCGCCAAATTACGAGGAGGTGAAGCAATTTCGCTCAGCGCTCGTGTGCAAGGCTAATGAGCTGGCCCGGATGATCCAGAGCACAGCCCAGGCCGATCCTTTATTGCACACTAACGCCGCGGCATCAGGGGAAGAGAAGCAACCGGTATCGGCGTTTGCGTTTGTTACAGGGGACTCGAACAGCACTGCCAATGACCCGTCGCTAGGTGTTCCCCAGATGCAGAATGACTCGGGCTTTCGCTTTTTGAATGCCAATGCGAACGCACCAGTCGCTGAAGCTCTTGGTGGAAACGTAGTGACTTCTTTGTGCACGCCAGCTCAGCCGGGAAATTCGTACGGCTTCAGCTTTCTCGCTGACAATTACCAAGAGCAGCCTGTCGTGGGCACTAGCGCCAACCTGACCGTCTCTCAAGCGCCAACCAGTCCGTCGTCCAGTTTTGGCGTGCCTTCAACGGATATGACGAACTCGGGCGGAGAGGCTGCTTCCAATGTGTTTGCTGGGCTCACCTTGAAGAATACTACTACCCAGCAAAAGGTCGCGAAGACAGCACCTGCGCTGAGCGACACCTTGACGAAGAGCAGTCATGGCCGACCGATGGGTCTCAGCGACCTGGAAGCTTCGCTCCGTTTGACTGCACTGGGTCGGGGCGTCTGTCATTCGGCAGACCACGTATCACGGATTCCTGAGTCCGCGCAGCAGTCAGCATTTGAGTTCCTGTCGACCCCCGCCACTACCGCCAATCCATGTCATGGTCCGATAGTGTTCGACAGCAGCTCGACAAGTACCGAGGCGACTTCGCCGACGGGATTTGATTTCTTGCGGGACAGCACCGTGTCGTCCAATACGCCAACCATGGGTTCTTCGCAGGCCCAATCCGAGCTGCAGGAACCACCTGCGTCTATGTTTTCGTTCATTTCCAGCGACTAGTTTGGGATCACTGGGACCTTAGCGACCATTGATGTTGGGCCCATTTACATTAGGGACCGGACCATTGGTACCGAGTCTTGGTAACAACAGCTCAGGCTGCTAAACTCGAAAAAGGTCGATCGTGGTTTATTTGATCATTGCTCTCCTCTTTTTCTCTCATTGGATACAATCGGCTGGGTCGCCCCTTTCATCCAATCACTGGTCGGCCTGTTGCCCCGCTCGATAGCATCCAACAACGTCGACTCGCCTTCTTCCCCCCGCTGTACAATGGACCTGGCGACATCTTCTGAGACAGTTACACGCACGTTCAAGGGCCTGTCCGACGCCAAGACGCGAGTAGATCAAGCGACTCAGGAAGACGCGTCTTTTCCGGACCTAGCGGACCAGCTGAACGCCCAATCGGAGCCTCAGAACTATTTCTTTGAACCGTATGCATCCCAATGGATCCCTCAAGTCGCGAAAAAGGGATCGGTGATCCCTCTCCCAGGCGTCGTAGCTGCTGCCCTGGACGAGACAAAGACACTGGCACTCTCTGGTCTATTGCCCGAGATCCGGGCGGTCTGGACGTCCGTGGACACCCGTCTCTTCCTCTGGAGCTACGCCCAACGAGGCCGCTTTGCTGCCAAAGAGTTCGACCAAGCCATTGTCGCTGTGGGACTCGTCCCGCGGCCAGCATCAGGCGTGTTTACGTCCAAAGTCTCTCATGTACTGGTGGTGGCTACGACCGTGGAGGTCGTGCTGCTTGCAGTTGTTGCCGAGAACAATACGTCGGAGACGACGGGTCAAGCGGGATTTGTCAAGCTTCAGACGACAAAACTCAGTGTCAGTACTGACAAATGCGTGGTCCGGAGGATCGTGACCACACGCAGTGGTCGCGTTTTCTTTGGAGGCTCCGATGGTGCGCTCTATGAGGTCTTGTATGCACCCGAGCAAAAAGCTGCAGCGGACCGCAATTCGCTGCTTGGAGCCGCCTGGAAAAATGTATCGGGCGCGGGCGGAGCAGATGAGTGCAGGAAGATTACGCACACGTCGAGCTACGCACAGTATTTGCCAAAGTTCCTTGCTGGATTGGCCAGTGCACCTGGAAAAGTCGTGGACATGTGCGTGGATCACACGCGGCATATTCTCTATGTCCTGCACGATGATGCGCTCGTGAGTGTTTTTGATCTGGGAGCCAATGGAGACGAGTGCAAGGCAGTGTGCGTTGTCAATCTATTGGTTGATGGTGCAAAGTATGCTCGTGAGAACCGCCGGACACGCGTCTCGTGCCCTGACGAGCGGCTTTTTCAGCCGGCAGTGGCTGGGACGTCCAATGCAATGAAGATTGTGGCATTAGCAACTGTTTCTCCTGACGAATCGAAAGTAGTCACGCTGGTTGCTGTGACCTCGAACGGCATTCGGTTTTATATGACAGTTTTCTCGCGGCGGTACTTGTATTCCGAACCTGGCAGTCAGAGTAGAACCAAGCGGCCATCCAGACTCGAGATCCTCCACATTCGGCTGCCTCCCCCGGCAATCGCACTGCGCGACGCGCCGCCGTATCACGCCAAAGAAGGCATGCAACCAGGATATGCTCCGGGCAAGAGTCTAGATGCTGTGCATGTGGCATTCCATCGCAAAGGAGTTTTTTTGTGTGTTGAAGGACGACGAGATGAACAGGACCAGCTCGTGGGTATTGCGTATGACCCTATTAGCACCACAGCGCTTCCTCTTCAGTCGGGTTTGACGGCGAAAAAGCCGACAATCCGCGAGGCAGTCTCATTAGACACTTGTATTGGTAAAGTTGTGGACATTCAGGAATTGGATCCGCACTCAAGCGAGGGTTCTGATCGGGCATGGATGCAGCATATGGAAGGCGCGGCATCGACTTCGAATGGGTCGAGCAGTGGCAGTAAGCGGTCGTTTGACGAAATGTCTACTGGTATCTCCGTTGAGAGTACTCTTGAGAACGCGCCTGTGGTTGGCGAGATGGCCCTTATGTACTCTCAGCCGTCTCGCCACTTTTTGTGTTTGAGCAATTCGGGCATTCAGGTTTTCAAGAAGATCCGACCACTGGATCAACTTCACCGCGTACTTTTACTTTCTCGAGGCCACGAGCTCAATGCTGCACTCGTCCCGTTTATACGCTCCTTTGGCGAGATTCAATTGGTCTGCATGCTGCTTGCGCTGGCATGCGGCGTCCCAACGGATCCTCTGGTCAGTGAAACCTCCACGGCAGCTTCGCTAGTTGCACCGCGCCCGGGTGGGTTAGCACCGATGAAAAGTGACGATTACATCTATTCCGCTGCCGTACAGTGTATTTTTGAAATTGCGCAGGGACCTCCTGACAACGTGCCTGAGGAGCCTGTAGGTACATCTACGGCCGTTGGCTCCTCTAGCTCAACGCGTGGTACTCGCATCGTGCTTACCACGGAATTTGGCATGACCTACCAGCATGATGGCCTTGTGACTTTTGCGTGTCGTGTGCTGCGACCGCTATGGACAACAGCGACACTTGGCCGGCGTGTGGTTTCTCGCGTGTCTACTAGTAGTATGAATTTCGACACGTCATCCGCTAAAGCTCCTGCGCACATGACCAGCTTCGAGGCTATTCATTCCCCCGAAAAGTTGGACGAGATACGTGAGATTTTGTTCCAGCTGAGGCAATTGATGGAAAGTGCTGGCCCATTTGCCATGTCAATTAGCGGAGGTGCTGCACTTGAGAACAATCCTAGCTTGGACGGCATGGTAGAAGAAAATGCTGGATGCGGACTATCTCGTGTATCGGAGCTTGTAGAGCGCCACCAGAAGTCGCTTAGTGAAGACCAGTTGAAGCGCGAGATGCGAAGTAAAGCCGAGCAACGCTCGCTGTATTACCTTTATCAGATCGTGCTGCGCAGTATTGAAGCTATTTCATTGCTGCGAATTGCGCAAGGTTACAAGGTATCTCTGGAGGAACCTCTTGCCCGGCTTAGTTTCAGCGATTTTGTGACCACGAAGGAAGGTCTTTTAGCCGCTAAGACTATGTCGAAAGCGTTGATGCGAGGCTGCAATGCCAACAACCAGTTTCTGATCAAGCAATTACGCGAACAGTGTCCCACTTATTTCTCAGTGTCAGATTTGTGGCACTATCAAGGTTACCGAAGCTTGTCCGATGCTAAACTTAGTGGATCTCCCGAGGCTCGCAAAAAGTTATTGAAGGAGTCTCTTGATCAATTTTTGAACTCTTGTCACATGTGGGACACCGAAGACTGCTTGGATGTGCTACAAGGCATTTGCGAAGACTATGCTTTGCTGAATTTTTATGAAGGCGTGGTGAAGCTCTCGCTAGCATGTGCGAAACACTTCGATGACGCGGCTGCTTCGGATCTGAGCGGTGTCAAGCAAACTTGGAAACGCCGGTGCTTTGGCTGCATCTTGCTTGCGCTTCAGCAACTTTTGGGTGGGGACACGAACAGCTCATCTTGCGCTGTGGCGAACGGGGCTAGTCCGCAAGCTGTGGAGGAGATGGTGGCGCTGGATGATGATACACGGAACAAGTGCGTGGAAGAGTTGTTTCATTTTGCTCTGGCGTCTGTAGACGATAGTTTTCACAGCCTGCTGTACACGTGGTTGTACGAGCGTGGGCACTCTCATTTTCTGATTTCAATCCGTTCCCCGTACATTGAAGAGTTTTTGAAACAAAGAGACCAAGACCTGCTCGTAAAACTATACATGGAACAGCAGAAGTATCTTGTGGCGGCGAAGGTGTGGTGGGCGCGTGCCCATGAGAATACAATGGACGAAGACGGGTACGCCACGTCTTCCGCTCGTGTCGTCTCCAATGATCCGGATATTGTCAAGCGTCAGTACTACGTGTCGAAGTCTTTGGGCTGCTTGAAATCTTTGGAAGATGCAGGTGAGGCCGCAGAGGCCGTTCGAGAAGTACGCGACGTGCTCGACGTACTGCAATTGCAGGTGCGTGTTTTGAAGGCACTTGAACAAAAGGTTATTGAGCTGGAGACGTCCCCGACAGCTACGACCGAGCAGCTGCAGGAAAGTAAAAGTGACGTGCGGCTTTTAACCTATAAGCAGTTTGACGCGTCTACATTATACAACCGGTTCGCGTCGAAGTACGACATGTGGACAGAGTGCTTACATATCATTCATGTGTGCAAGTCAGAGGAAGCAGATGTGATTGCCGAGCTGTGGCGGAAGACCATTTTCAATCTGCTGCCCCAATCTTCATACAATGCTGCATTTAATGCATGGCGATTGGATCAGCGGGAGAAAGCTGGGTTGCCTATATCATCCGGCAGTAGCGGCGGAGGCTCCTCTTTTGAGAGCGGAAATTGGATCGGCCAAATGCAATGTAAGATTCTGCGCCTGGGCAAGTCGCTCTACCCTGAAGGCGACGACAAGCATAGCGGCTCAGCTGCTAGTATTTCCGGCTTTGTGTTCCCGGTAGGATTCCTGGCCGATGTTCTGGAGTGCATTTCTTTGTGGTGTATTCGATCTACTGGTGTAAGCACGTTCACTGGAAGCGCCGCCTCAGCTTCGGCTATCGACGCGACGACATTCAGTTGGGTGCTCAAGTTGTTTCTGGATGTGGGCGTGCCTCACCGAGTGCTTCTGAGCATCTATGAGCAGCTCTACCGCGAGCAGCCGGAGCAGCTCTACCGCGAGGGCTGGACGCTACACTTGCTGCAGTCCATACTGGCGATTATTACCATTTGGAAGAAGCACGCCATATCCCCGCGTGCTGGCAAGGACCAGTTTGCGGAGTTTGCTGCCTTCTGTCCGAACGTCGTTGATCTCTGTGATGGGTTTATCACGGACCTGCGTGCTACATCACAAGGTATGTTGGTGTTTTCTGTTCTGCACGTATATGGTTGTTTTTGCGGTATTGACGTCTCTGGTTGCCCTCTTGTAGACGAGAACGGGAAGACATCGACGCTACTAGAACGATTTCGCCGAGTCAAGGATGAACTGATGAACTTCAGAACTCGCGTGTAGACATTTTGACGCAATAGAGGCACAAGAAACAACTTGATCAGGAAACTGCGATGCAACGTCAATACGTTCCGGTGCTGCTCAGAAGCACTCGAGAAAGCGAGTGGCGAGCGTTTGTCGTACCGACGATGCCAAGGTAAAGGAATAATTATACGTGCGTCTCCCATTCATTGTCTCTGGCCTGCCGCCCAACAATGTCTGCAACGTGGTAAGTAGTTGACAAACATCTCTTATAATCCTCGGATTCGTCTTCGTTTTCCGATTTGCTCATCATAGTGACACGGTAAGCTCAGTCCACGGTGTAATGGACTTCGTAGTCTAAGTTACGACATTAGCTCATCAGGACTGAAACAAGGTGAACCAAATTACCATCAAAGCAAAAGACTGATGTCAGTCATGACGTCTTGTATTTACACACTACGGACGAATTGAGTTAACGGGTCTTGCCCGTACTTATAAAGATGGCAGTCCACCCGAAAGCTAGATAGGCTACATATAAACACTCAGCCGCATGTTTGTCTTGCTTCGAACTCTCGATACTGCATCTGTTATAGCGCACAGTTTTTATTCAAGATTTCACCCGGTTTGGTTGTTTCTCGCTCAATGTCTTCAGTACCTTTGGGTTACGTCTGAGTTACCCTTACGTTCGACTCTACATGGCTTTTGGATCGAAGTGCGGCAGTTAGACTTGTTGTTGGATCAGCGTAGGATGGACATTGATCTCTCTGGTGTATCGCGCAGGAACATTAAGTTGTTGACCGGACGCAGCAATATGTCGCATCTGTCTCTGTGGTTGCAAGAAGGAGCTAGCAGTCAATTAAAGTAGATCTCGAAAAGCTTAACACATGATGATCGACCGACGGAAGAGGAGTGAATATTACAGATTGAGTCTGCTTTCACATCCATATCCTCTTAAGATGCTCCAATACGTTCGGCACCTCATCTCCGTCGTCCTGACTGCTTCGTAAAAATCAAGAAATGGTCTCAGCCTTTATTGACGCAGAGCTCATGCCTAGTGGCGTTCGATTTGACATTCACGGATAAATCGAAGGCGTGCAGTAATTATAGCTCCAACAGATGAAGGCCTCCGTGAAACAGTCTTTGATCCTGTTGTTTTACACACGTGAAGTTAGGAGCAGCTGGTCGTCTCATGCTGGGCAAAATGTGCTACGAACTCAGTCCATTCTTTGTTGTTGCAAGCAGCAATATCGCTTGTTGCAATTATGTATTGCGATCTGTTCGGATCGTTCATTCGAGCAATTAATTGCATGACGCGAAGAAACGCAATATCGTTTCATGCGATATGTGCAAACGGTATTTCAAACAGTGTGCAAGACAGATTTAACATGGGCGGAACCACTTCGCTCATGTAATTAGTGTGCAAGTCATCGTTAACGCTAACGACTATAATTAAATTGCCGATGAGCTCGAGCAGTCTAACGTTTACGTTGCTGACTTGAGCTAAGAATGTTGGGGCGCAACGCTTAGCAACTTATGCTGGGTTACATACAACTTGATGTTTATTGTGCAGTGACATCGTGTTTCAGATAATTTGAGGTCAAAACAGTGACTGCAGCGCAAGCGAACCAAAAAATATAGGCAAACGTAACTCAACCTTAGTTTAGATCTCAGAGGGCAACACAAAGTAGTAGTGAACGAAGCATAACAGTTTGGTCGGTGAGCACGACAATGGCTGTGTGTGATCCGCTATCTTGTTCGGGTGTTTTTGTGCTTAAAACGAAGACACAAGATGGCATGAAAGCACGTGTTATGGACCTCCTGTTGAAAACTGGTGTGAACAGTCGCGTGCAGGACGACTCTTGGTAGCAGTCACATGGGCACCGGTCGACTACTGGGAACGGAAAAATGAGACTCAGAGGACAACAAGGTAAAGTAGGATCGGGCGCGAGCGCTACGATCAAGCGATACATATCTTCTAACTCTCCACGTTTTACCTTTGTGCACAAGCCATCCTCGTTTTCCACACCTCCATGTGTAGAAAAGGTGGATATAGGGAGCTAGTCAAGGTCTAAGCGTATCGCGTGACACTTCGCGCGCTACCCGTCAGAATGCACACACAAAGTTCGAGCTGTTTTACCTCCGTGAACAATTTATTGCATGTACATTGTGTGTTTGTATCACATGACGCTGCATGCACAAATCACCATTTCAGCATTGACCGTTTTATTCACATTTACTTTTTATAGTATTTTTCAAGGTCGTCAAAATAATTAGCAATCATGCGCTCACTACCTGTCATACCTAATATCACGAGCATGCCTGATTCGATTTCTAAATTAGTTTGCTGTATACCACACCAAAAAAAACCTCCATCCTTCCTTTCCCGTCTCCTGCTGCCTACCTCCCATCTCCCGTTTTGAACCCTCTCCTGACGTTCTTCACCAATACGCCGCCACCCATCAACAATCGCCCGTCCTTCTCGCCATGTCGGGAGTCCGCGCCGTTGCGCGCAGCGTCTTCAGCGCCACCCGGCGGTCGCTCCAGTCCCGTGCCTTCATGTCAACGCGTGCGCCCGACACGCTGTTCGAGACGCCGTCGTTTCCCATGCCCGAAGACCCGTTCTGCTGGCAGGACAAGTACCTGCGAGCGGACCCCTCGCATCTATGGAAAGTGGGCTCGTTCCCGCTACAATCTGGACAAGCGGACGAGGAAGAAGCCGGTGTGCTCACGTGCTCCGAGGACCTATGGGACACGTCCGGTATGCTCAGTGCCTTGCAGGACGCGCTGCCATTGCGTGAACTGGACAGCGGACGCAATGGCGACGAGCTCCTGCGGCAGTTGAACGGGTACTTGGCGGACAGCGTCGTGAAGAAACGGCGAAAGAAGATGAACAAGCACAAGTACCGCAAGCGCAAGAAAGCGCAGCGGATGCGCACCAAGAAGAACTAGGGCAGAGTTGACGATCGGGTGGGGGAGGGACTTTTGTTGCGGCGGATAGAGACACGGCCAGTAGGCGTGATAATCAATACACACTTTTGCTGGCGAGTCGACGGTTGTTTGTGGTTTCTGTCAGCAGTTGAGCGTTAGTTGCGTGGAACTACGAGTTGAGATAGAGAGTAGGTGTTGAGCGTGCAGCATTCGTGGAGACTTCTCATACCTGGATATGTGTCGAAGCGTTCAGACTACTGTCACTGTGGCGTCCACTTGGTGCGTGATACGTGACAGGTCTGTACAGATAGCTGTGAGATTGGTGGAGGACTGTCGATATCATGATGTATCAACACCTGCCCCTTCTCCCGCTGCTTCCGAGCAAGCACAACCAGAAGCGTACTGTACAAACCGATTACTACTGATTAGCCTGTCAATCCATCATCATGCACACCATAAATGTCAACTGCGCCTTCAGTCAATGGCCGACTGCGACTCTAACTCGTACACGAGACGAGAAATCGAAAGAGGATTGCCCGCGGTACCGAGTAGGCGTTCGTCCTCGGACAGGGCTTCAATGCTGGTGTCTGAAAAGTCTAACAGTCTCAACCCACAACTAGATCAGACAACGATCAATTGTGCATGGCAACAAAGCTCAACTACAGACGTACGTTGTCGAATCTGTCGTGAAGTCAAATGGCCTCGCGCTTGCTTGAAAAAAAGTTTTGCACAATCTAGCTTTCCGAGCTCCTCTACGTGAATGGTTTCTCTCGTCAAGACTTCACCATCGTTTACTTCGATCTGCAGCTTTTCGATCGACGTGAGCAAGATCTACATTTAGAAAAGCACTAATTAGCGACGACCTTGCCAAAATTCTGTAGTTTTAGCAAATCGATCAATTACCTGAACACAAGGAAATGCCCGCACAATGTTGAGAATAAAAATCTCAAGTGCTGGAAGTGCGATGTCGCAGCTGTCCAGCACTACAAGCGTAGCAAGATGATCTGCAAGATCCATTCTAGAACCACGTCACCATGAGTCTGGGTCTGACAAATAACCTGACCGAGTTGTACAACGTACTCTGGGAGTGAGCGCAAAAGACTTTCGACTTCCTGCAGCACCATTTCCAGAGCATCCTTTTGCTGAACAGGCTGTACAAAGCCGTGACTTCCAGTGACAACTGGCACAGGTGTGCTGCTGTTCTGGATGTGCTCAACTAGTTTGTCGACAGCAAAATAATGCACTCCATTTGTGTAACTTCTTGTGCGATAGAAAGTTTTTGCAATTTGAACAGCGATCGACGATTTTCCAACACCTCGAGCTCCATAAACGTTACAAACTCGAACGTTTTGAGTCAGCGCTGACTTGACCTGAATAGTTGACAACGTACGAATTAGTAGAATATACTTGGATCTAGCTTCTGATAAAGCAAGTCTGGCACCACCTTGCGGACGACTGCGTCCCTTCCAAGAAAATGCGCTGACAGAACGGGAATAAAATGTCCGCTGAGCAAGACAGCCACGTCCCTGTTGGTCACCGTGGGAACTGCTGGAGAAGAACCGATCAGAATGTCGTGTTGTTCTGCAAGTGGCAGCATTTCGCAGACTTGCTCCGACGGCCGCATGATAGGCAGCAAGTCATTCAGTGCTACAAGTTCCGCCAGAACGTAGCTCTTGAGGACATGAAATCCTTTTAAAAGGCCTGCAAATAGGGCTCTACTTGGACAGACATACGTGATATGAACTTGGAGCTCCACAGCACATGCTTTGTAAGTGCTTGCGTACCTAATAAAAGCAGTTACTCGCAGAGAATGCTTGCTTGCCGAGCTTAGATAGCAAACATGAGGAGCGCCACATTCTGCAAGCAAACAAGCTTGAGACAACGATTAAAAGTGTAAGAATAGTAAACGCAGCAGTTGTTTCCACGAATACTATCCTTACCGGTACCGCGCGATGGCGCAATGACAATAACAAGCTTTGACCGTACGCTGTTAACTGTTAAGACGTGACTTTGGGGTGAGCATGGCTTGCAGAGATAGCGTGTAGATGAAGTCCTTACCACAACATAAGAGCTGCGACAAGTCATCTTTGTTCAACCGCGCCGACAGACCATTTGGGGCATCGATCACCAAGTGGTGCTCATCTCCTCCACCAACATAAAATATCACATCACTTTCACCACGCAGGGCCTCATCAATCGACTTGCTTGTTGCGCGATGACTCGATGACGCCTGTAAAAAGCAAAACTACGTGAAAAAAGCATGAGGTGACAACATTTTTTTACTTGCACACACTTACATCAAGCGTAGGAATCTGTGCAAAAGCTGACAGTGCTTCGGATAGCTCTTCACGTCGGTCTAAGTCTGCTTCCTAAACGAAGTCGCAAATCAGCAAAACGCTGCAGCAATGAGACAAAGAATCACGAAGCTACGAACCTCAAGAGGCTGGCTAGACTCAGAAAAGTGTTGCGCTGACGGGTCAGCGAACAGAAGCGTCTGCATACAAACAATTGGCTGTAAGGTCGTTATGACGTTGTATCGATTCACACAGCATTTCAACGCACACAGCGGATATGTCGAGACGACACTGAGACTTGTTACAAAAGTTTTGGCTCGCTTGTCACCATCCTTTGCGTCATCAATGACTGGACCCCATCAGGAGTGAATGGGCCAGTAAATGTGTCATGGCGTTTTTTCGGTACGATGCCTCGAGCTGGCGAGGAGCAAGGAGACACAATGACGGACTCTGGTATCGGTGACAAACCATGCCGGTTGCTCAAGTCCGCTAGCTCACTGACAAAGCTATCGCTCGGTCTGACATATCGACCGTCATGTCTGCTTTTGTTGCTTATCCTTGCCATATGCTTGGGCAACAACTGTAATCGAACTAGCTTGTACTCGAGTGATAGATCGTCCTATTCAGAGCAACAATTACCAGATTGCCATGATGAAACATGTACATGACCTTGCCGGTCAACGGTGCGCACCTCATCCCGGTGAATCCTTAACAATGTGACGACATCGCCAAGCTCTAACTCATGCGTTTGACCATTTTTCAGCTGTTTACCATTGACCCGTATTCCATTAGTGCTCGTGTCTGTAATGCGCACCTTGACTCCCATTTCGGCTGGACCATCTTGTGACGACACCTGATCAATGTGAATCATGCAATGCCGTCGACTCAAACGAGAAAGCACTCCACCACGAACGCTATCCCCGAAAACTTGCTGAAATTCACTTCGGCCGAGAACAATAGGACTTGACTGCTGAATTAGCTCTACTGTAAGCAGATTCAGCAAACTCATTCGATCACGCTCAGCTTCGCTAAGGCTGTTGGCAAGTCCATCGCATAGAGTCAATACAATCGACTCCGCCAGATCTTTTTCCGTAACCGAAAGCTCTTCAAGCTTTTCTTGGGAAAAAGACACTTCGAGGTCACGAATGTCCGGGTCAGGGATTCCAACGAGTTCTTCGTCGCTGGATACATCATCAGCATGACAATACTGCTGTGCGGGACTAGAACCACTGGGTAACACCAAATCCATTTCAATTAATGGTGTTTGGATCTCCTTTGTTGACTTGACGCTGTATAGCTGAGGTAATGACAACGGCTTGTCTTCGACCGGTTGCTTTATGAAAGAGACCTGTACCAACGCAGGCACGCAGCATATCAGTGCATTGCTCCACCACTTCAAATGCTTACCTCAACCCTCGCTTTTCGCAAGCAACGTGCTTACATTGGCCGACATGACGGTTGATAGTCCACACAGACGAACCGTCGGAACTTCACGTCCAAGCCCTATAGTACTATCATGCTCCAATGGCCCCATCAGTTGCGAAAGCTACAGCACAAGTTCACATGTCAATGAAAAAAAAAGAGCTCGCTTTCGATCCTCGTCACTCGAATACCCTAAAACACTGCAGAAAAAGTACCTTTGGCAGTGCACCCTCCAGTAGCTGCTTCTTTCCCATTGGCTCCAATCTGTCCGCTAACACAACCGGCCTCTTCTGCCTTACATGTCGCAGTGGCGACACCCCTACAGCCACTGTCCCGTCTCCCTCCGGTGTCGATACTTGAGCTCCTGGGAGCACCAACGCAGCAACCGCTGTCTCGTCTGCACTTAGATCTCGCTCACAAGCAGGAACGGGCCTTTTGTACCCCCTTTCCACGTCTGCGCTCGCCCCAAGCGCCTGCGACGGCGTCCAGGCCGCCTCTGTATCATCCGCAAACCGTGGCAATGGCACGGGAGAGACAGCGCACGACAGCACCGTCCTCTTGATTCCGACGTGGCATTGCGCCTCGTCCTGCGCTTGCGCCAGACGGCGGCTCTCCAGAGCATCCGGACGGACGCACTTGCTATTGGCTGAGACACGTGGCCGTGACGCGCCTTGTCCGTCGCTGTCTCCTGCCCGCGTTCGCTTGCGGCTTCTTCCCGTGGCGGACTCCATCGCTCCCGGTTTCTGTTCGAGGAGAAGTGCGGTCGAGGGTGCTGGCAGTTCGACCATCACTCTGTGTGCATACTGAAAGCAAGTAAGACCAGTCAGTTCTGGAAACTTCAACGTGGTGGCCGAGTGAGTGGATGGGTGTGTGACGTGCGTTCCTCGAGAACAAAATGCGTTTGGTGGATAAAGGTGGTACCGGGACCTGTCATCTTTTATACGACAGAGGATGTGGTGCAAAGTTGGGTGTGCGACGCATCGTCTGATGCGGATGAACCTGACAAATGGGACATGACAAATGGGACGTGACCGCTGATGAGCGCGCATCATGTGTAAGAGGATATCAAATTTAAGGATATTGTTGCAGCATTGTGCTTTCCCACCTCATTGCACACCAAATAGATCACTCCTTCGTGGACGCCACAGACCGTCCCTGCCAGCTCCTAGCCACCAGCGCTTTGACAAGTTCAACACCACTGCCAAAGAGTGACTTGTGATGTTTGTGATTGGCTTATAATCCATCAAGGGTTTTTATGATCATGTAAGCAAACACTGGACGCTTACTAGCAAAGGTGTAGCGGAGCCACACAACTCCTTAAGTCAGAGGAAGACTTACCGCTCAACGAGCAACTTAGTTCTAAAGAACTATACTCAATGAGTCAACAAGCGTGAAGCTTATGGTCCTTGTTGCAAAGGAAGAAACGATCCAGTGAATCGACAGCACTTAGTGCTCAAGCGTAATAAGCTACCTCAGGGAGGTGTTGCCAACTATTAGTGGTCAGTGATCAACGACCAAAGACGCCTCGCAAGACACGTGTCGTAAGGATCAGAAGGGGAACTGAATTTTATCTGCATTTAAACCCATAGAATATCTTAATCCTAATCTAAACACTTATGTCCTAAATTAGCACAACTAAGATCTTTCCTATCTGGTGGCTGACACCAGTCAGCCCCTACAAACCGAAAAGATATTCTATATCTCTTTAAGTGGGATATCATCCGTGTGTCTAAGACACGGGGTACCAGGTACCCAACTGCGTGTAACCCCTTTACAAAAGGCCAATCACGTTGCCTAAGTATACTGTACTAGATCGATACAGACAGTAACAGCATCATACTCATACTTCAGTGGCTGCTGGTGTATAATGTTTTGCAACGTGAATCAGTTCTTCGAGCTGGATTACTCATTATAAAGGGCGAGATCCAGAGCTTTCCCCCTATCCTACGGTGAGTGTAATGGGGTGAGCCTGTTGCATTTACTTGACACTCGATACTTGTTTATAAGAATATTATTGCGAGCCCGAAGGGTGAAGCTAGTAGTCAGTGAGCGCAAAGTTTTATGCTGAACTTTAGCTCGTACTTCTCTATGTGGGTGCATGTCTGTAAATAACGCGGTCAGGTGTACCTTATTCGTACCAAGAGCGATCTAGCCTGCCCTCCTCGTAGGTCGTTAGCATTTTAGGTTTCAATCTATGGATCGGTCAATATTTCGATGCACGCACCTTATTGGCTTTGAATTGATCAGATATGAATATGACTACATAAGTTAATGTTGGACGCTCATAAGTAAAGGCTGGTCGCGTGAACGTAACCTACAATACTGGGTTGACATATACCAAAACAGCATCACACTTTTTTTCGGTGGCTGCTGCTGTTGTGTAGTGTTTTGCAACTCGATCAGTTCTCCGAGCTGGATTACTCATATCAAAGAGCAAGCTCCAAATCTGGCTCCTCTTTCTTCAGTAAGCTTGGTATTGTTCATGAATTTCACCACAAGAGGTACTGTTCAGAGGCATTCACCGATAAACTGATATGGTCTGTCGTATCAGTCAACTCTAGCGGACCAATCAGTGATGGGCGCGCGCAATGAGTGGTGAGCAAGAGTTCAGCGTACGTTTGTGTAGACGATATTATTAAGTTAGAACGAAGACATAGGATATAGACTAGGACCTCATTGTATTTACTACAATTTTACTTCTCTTCTTTTGACCGAGTCATTCATTAGCTAGCACTACTCTGCACGTGCGGTGTACGTCAAGTGACATGCAGCACTACTCACACTGCATCAGTGTAAGTTAACTAGTGTTGCGTCAGTACAATTCACTGGTTCCCCTTCACAGTGAGAGCCACTTCGTGGATGCTCTGTTAAAACCCGCGTAGTGTGAAGCTATTACAGAACATTCGATAGGGGACATGATGTATTTGACATCTAAGACATAAGAAATGGGACAATTGCACTGCCTTAATCCCGACAATACCATTGCATGACGTCAAGCGGAATGATCGTATCCGAGAAAGACTCGAATGAATGTTGCTCTAACACGCTACGCGGAGTTCTCGATTTGTACCGAAATGACTAAACGAGAATTTGACCACTAATCTCCCACCTTTCCTTTGCCAAAATGAATGGTTCTGATACCTAGTCTGTCGGCGTGGCTCCAAGATAAACTTTTGGTATTGCCGTGGGTGCTTTGGACCTTAACAACAAGCGTAAAGTCTCTCATTCACCCTTACTGAAGGCGCTTCCGCTTTCGCAACGTCACCACTCGTTGGTCAGGGCCATATGGCTCCAAAGTCTTCATTTGGGGGACATCCCTCTCAAGAATCGGTACGCTAATCGACCTCTTCGGAAACGCATCTATGCCGCGCTTCTTCGAGATGAGGCCGGCCTCAAGGCAAAAATTCATATATGCCTTGGCAGTATTCTTTCACATCACCAAACCGTCTGATTGTTACTATCTAGAGATGGTCAAGCTCTGTGATATCGGGGCGTCCCGTGAACATATTATACACAAGTCGTGTGAAATTAGTCGAGGGGATGCGGCAATTTTCCTCTCTCTGTTGACCTGGACGTGGTCATGCTATTTCAAAAGCAGGAACATCTCTGTAAGTTGCATCATTGATTAGCGGTCACGAAAACGAAAAGGTCGGGATGAACTTCATAGCGGTCAAATTAACGTACTAGTACGCACGTGATATCGTGAGATTTCGATTGGATCTAGTCCGCTCGATATAAAGCGCTCTCTTGGTAAGAAACTGGTGACCATTATTGATTACCAGGTCGACTTTATGTATGACCATTTCTGAACACCTGCCACTACGTCAACGTGATCCGCGTTCCCGGATCAATTGCTACAAAGCGAATTTTTGAATTCCTGCGTTCACGCGGCACCTCCCTCTTCTAGTGTATTCGTCTGGTGGCTACTCACGGCTCTTCACTCTGATGGGGTCAGGTTCAATCTACTTTGTTCCGGCTCTCGCTCATGTTGTCTAGACTTTGACGGTGAGGCGATCGACCAATTATCTGTACGATGGTCAGTGTACTCGTACGATATTAGAATACGCCAAGCATCCGTCCTCAAGCATTCTATCATCTCCGACCACGGCTCGCCCTGGGCCTTAAACCCCTTGTCTCCAGTCAGCTGGAGGAAGATCAATTAAAGATGCAACCCGTTCGAACCCCATAGACCCGGTACTCTCACACACCAGCCGACGGATCAGCTGGTGCTTTAGGTGGGGCTTCTTGCATCAAAACTGTAACCCAGCAGCATCTTGGGCCTCCGAGCGGATCCAAGTCGGGGTCAGGGAATTTTTGACCACAAACGAAGCGCCAAGTGTACCGATATCTGTCGCTCTAAAGTTGAGACCTAATGTAACGGGGCACCCTTTGTTTGGGGTGCCGCGAAAGTTCACGTACACTAGTACGTGCAGAGGAAGCCATCTACCTGAACGACTTGATCAAGTAAGGTAAAAAGAGAACAGTATTTAATGTAGTTAAGCTATTAAATTAAATTTAATCTTTATTTAACTATATTAAACTACGCCGTCGTATGACGACAACCTGCTCACCACTCATTGCGCGCGTCAAGCAGCGATTGGTGGTAATCTATGGTCGATATGTCTTATATCAACCAATCTTGGAGCAGCGAATGAATATTAACCAAAAGGTATAGTATTCCTTCAATGTTATCCATCCCGGATAATATTGGTAGAATATTGTCATACTAGACAATATTCCAATTGACACCGTTTGGTGTCAATTTCATGTAACGGGCTACCCCGTTACATCATTCCCCCACTTAACCATCAATCACCCGTTGATTGAATTAGAATTGATTGGGACAGGGTGACCACCGTTGGATCACCCTGCGAAAGGGAGCACTTGTGGGTCAAATTCCATTCATTTGCCAATCCAACGCATGGTTTCCAAAACCACGCGAGCTGCTACTTCAGCAGCAAGAAGATCGGCTGCACGCATGCGTGCGGCCGCGGAAAGTGCCTCTCACGCCTCAGCCGCAGGCGATTTGTCGCCTGTTGTCGTGAATCCTCCACGTGGTGAGTCACCACGTGCGACAGGTATATCTATTGCGTCTGCAGCGGATACCGCGAGTCATTATCCGGATGAGTCTGAGATAGAGCTCATCTATTCTGGCGAGTCGTATGATGCATCCGACTCGAAGGCGACTCCTCATGCCTCGGGATCACCCGGGGCGGACGCTGCAAAAGCCAGGCTGACTGGCTTTGGTCAGCGCGGCAGCATCATGACCGAGATCTTCGAATCGAGTGATTATTCCGACGAGACTTCGCCTCACACAAGTTTATCCAACGATAGAACGCGTGGAGATGGTGATAATGCAACTATGCATCACCACGAGCGAAGCAATTAAGGGATCGGGGTAACACCGGTGCCAGTGCTCATGCTGGCACCAATCAAGTGGCTAGGGACCGAAATTTTTTGCGCCACGCTCCTCAAGTGGAGTCTCCGTGGATACCGCCATCCAGAGAGTTAGAACGGTTGGCCGGCACGACTACCGAACGGGATCGAATCCTTTGTTCGATTGCAGGAAAATTTGTCCGCCTGATTCCAGCACGGAAACTATCCGTGCTGAGGAAGAGTTCTTCACCGATGCGTTCTTCAAACATAGGTGGTACAATTTTAACCGTGTTCGAGACGGTAAAGCCTTGGTGCAGGGATGGAATGCCTTCATCTACAACATCGAGTGTGTTGGCCGTGAGGCTTGGCTCGCAAAACTTTATGCAGCTCGCATCAGGTTTGAGAAACACAACCTCGTCGGGGCGCGATACAAGTTGCACCGGCTTTCAAGAGAGGCATGATTACCCTGTCTCTCGTGGGGTGATTCGTGTCCAGGTTGCCTGGACAATTCGAACCGTGCCCCTAGGGAGGCCTACCTCCCTATTGATCCCTACTGGAGGGCGCGCATCTCTTCTGAGATGGCCGAAGGAATTGACACCTTGCGATCCCTGTACTCGCGTTCGGGGAAGTCTTATTCCGACGGCCCTTCTTCGAACACAGCGGGTGGGTCTCGTCATACTGCTCGACGAGACCAAAGACATCAACATATAGCTGGACACGAGGCTCCCAGCTGTCCCACGCTGGTGAATAGCCACGCCAGCGGACGAGGTAACTCGTCCGGACGCCATTCACATCGCGGTGGTTCAAGATACGCTCCACTAAGAAGCTTTGACCACCGCTTGAGTCCACCAAAGGATGTGGTGGTGGCGGGGGCACCTGATCTGGCTCCAGGGTCGGATCAAGTTGATGTTCAAGAGCTGAACCGTCGAACGGAACAGCTGCAGGATGAACTGGCTCATGAACGCTCTCGGCTTTATGGACTTGAGGATCTTGTAAGGAATAATTGCAATTCCATCACGAACGATCTTTCGGACGATCGTGCCGCTTTTGCGTTCGCGCAGCTTGAGAACGAACGTTCGACTCGTTCTCTTCGTGATGAGCTGGCTGCTGCTCGTCGAGACATCGCTGAGCTGCGTGAGCAGGTCGCTTCGCTATTCTACTAGACTAGCTCGTTGAAACGGGACCACTTGAGGGTGGTATCGGCTCTCGACCGTGGAGGTGTTCTTCGCATCTCGAAACGGGCTCGTACTAATAGTACAGGCGGAGACGACCAACGTAAAACGTAGGATGCGTGCGCATCTTACGGGGAAGTCCAATCGTGTAATCGTTGCCCATTCGGCGCAACACACGAAATGGACCGATGTAACTGGGTAGTAATTTACTGCTGCCCACGTTTGTCACTGCTTGTTTCGGTAGATTTACTTTAGACAGTAAAACTAGGTCTCCTTCATCAAATTAAAGAACATTTGCTCTTCCATGTTTGTCTGCGTTTCTCTTCTGTCTGTCTAATGCATCTGCAATAGATTCTTGAACGAAGCAGACAACCGCTTCGCGAGTCAGCAGAAATTCCTCTGCTAATTCATCCTTATAAACAGCAGTTCGCTTTGTGTGCACTGCTGAAAGAACGTTGTCTTTACCAGTGAGGGTGTCCTCGTCCTCACTTTGGCGGTTATTGGCGATGCAGAATATGCCAGCATCGTCGTCATCGTCATCATCGACATCGACATCGATCTCATCGACATTGGCATCCATCACGTCGACACCATTGTCGATGGGTGATGAGCAAGAAGCAGATCGGTTTTTGTTCGAGCGAGTCCACCTTCTCCTCTTAAACTAGAGTCACACTCTAAGAAGGCCGGTAAACGTGGATGGCGTAGGCCATTCACGAAGAGCGGTTTATGCGTTGTAGACGCGTGCATCGAGTTGTTGATGGCGAATTCCGCTATCGGCAAGAACTCACTCCAGCTTGTAAACGAGTGGACATACCATCGAACTATCTCTTCGAGAACGCGGTTGACGCGTTCTGTTTGACCATCTGTTTCGGGATGGTCAGAAGTTGACACCTTCAAACGTGTTCCAAGTGAACGAAACACGGATTGCCGGAACTCCGCCGTAAAGCGTGGGTCCGTATCAGACACGAGTTTACGGGGCGACCCGTGAAGTCGGAAGATAGTGTCGATGAACACACGCGCACAGCCCTGGGCTGTGATTGACTCCGGTACAGGAACAAGATGTACCATCTTCTGAACCGATCAACAAACACAAGAATAACCGTATTCTTGTGAATGTCTTTGGGAAAACCGAAGACGAAGTCCATCGATACGGACTGCCAACACTCTGCCGGAATTGGAAGAGGCTGCAAGGGTGCGCGGGATGAAGGTCTAGGTTTCACCCGTCGACAAACTTCGCAAGCGCGAATGTACTTCAGCACAAACTCATACTGGCGGGGCCAGTAGAAGTCACGACTCATCATGAGGTAAGTCTTTTCTCTACTGCGAGGTCCACTTGTTGGGGCATCGTGACACTCATACATGATGCGCAATCGCAAATCATTATGAGCTGGAACGACGACACGAGGTGTGTCGCCGTTGACTGCTGTATAGTACAGCAGTTTATCACGAGCCGAATACCGTTCGATTGAAGAGCGGATTTGAGACGTCAAGCTTTTCAAAGTTTGATTACACGGATTGGATACGTAATCCATCAACCGCAAAAGAGACTCAACTTCTGCTTATGCTTTTCGCACATCGTCGAGCAGATTCGACGACGAAACATTCACTGATAGTTGCAACAGTGGGATCACCCATACTGTTGGGTTGAGCAGTCGGCTAGAAATCGGGCCGACGCGAAAGAGCATCAGCGACGACATTAAGTCTTCCTGGTTTATACTCGACGTAGAAGTTGTACTCCGCGAAGAAATACATCCACCTCGCCATTCTTTGCGAGGGGTGTGGACTGTTCACAAACGTGCGTAACGACGCATGGTCGGTATAATCGATGTAGGGTCTATCTACTAAGAGATGTACCCGAAACTTAGCCAGTGCATATTGCATGGCAAGGAGCTCCTTTTCATGCTCTAGGTAGTTACGCTCAGCTGCTTGCAGCTGACGCGATTGATAAAAGACGACGCGCTCAACGCCATATGAGTCGTACTGCATTAAAGCGCAGCCGATTGCAAAATCGCTGGCGTCACAGACCACATGAAATGGTCTATCCTGATCTGCAATTGCCAACACAGTCGATTGTATCAAGCTTTTCTTGATGCATTTAAAGAGTACTGACAATCAGCGCTCCATGACCACCTCTCGTTTTTCTTTAATCGACGAGAGAGATGTAAAGTCATGTCGGCATAGCTGCGCAAATACTTGCGCAAATACGCTGCCAAGCCAAGGAACTGTCGAAGTCCCTTGACGTCGACTGGCACAGGCCAGTCGCTGATTGCCTTGAACTTTTCCGGATCAGGGCGTACATCGTTTTACCCACGATGCAGCCATGAAGTGGTATTTCATTCGCTGCGAATTTACACTTCCTGAGGTTCACGAACAACTTTTGCTCTCGCACTAGAGTGAGAATTTCCGGAAGTGGATTCTGTGAACCTCCACGTCCGTCTTTCCATCCATAGCCCGGCTATAGACGAAGACATCGTCAAAGTAAATCGGTGCGAATTCGCGTCCCGATCGCATCAGATTCGTAACACATCTTTTAAACGTTGCGGGGGCGTTACTTAGCCCCTGTGGTATTATTAGCCACTCCCAGAGCATACCACTGGGATACTCACTGCTGTGTGAATAATATCCCGTTACGCATGAGTATCTGATAGAATCCATCCATCAAATCCATGGACGAAAAAATGGTACTCTTTGACATACCATCTATGATGACGTCCTTCCTTGGGATCGGCGTTTGAGCCGGTACCGTTGCAGCATTCAACTTGTTAAATGCATGCACTATCCGCCACCCCCCTGTTGCTTTTCGCACACAGAAGGTCGGAGAGCTATGTGGGGATGTTGATTCCCTCACGTGACCAGCCGCCAATCGATCGGCAAAGAATTTGTCGATCGCTGTTACCTGTTCACGAGGCAGTGGCCACTGCTTCATGAAACAGTGCTTCGAACCAGGTTTCAGTTCGATCTCATGCCGAGTGCCTTTGTCGTTGGGCAGCTCGCATGGTACGGATTCCGGGGAAAAAAACCTGAATTCCACCGAATCCTTATACAAAAGAATCGTCTTCAAAGACTCGCAATATTAAGACGTGTATCGCTCAATCCGGGTCTTCTCATCGAGGACACTCTCATCCATCGGTGAGCTACTGAGAGCCCGTTCGTTCTCAGCAAACACTTGTGCCGACCAAATATCGGTGACGTACTCGTCCTATGTGACGAGTACGCAGATCTGCTTGATCTTGTCACTACGCAGATCTCGCAAAAATCTTTTAGATTCTAGCGTTGGCAACTTGACTACCTCCGAAGCTGACTTCGGAGGTGTAACCAGATCAAGTGTATAAGCGCCTACACGTGATTCGTCATTCACCAAGACATTCACTGTCTCGGTGATTTTCTGGGAAAACACATCCGCAGGTGGTTGGGGATCCACACCCTCACTATAACTCTCTCAGGAGTTATCGCCCTCAGGAACGCTGGAATTTTCTTCCATTACGTGTACTGTCAAGGTCACGTCCTCTTCGATCGACTCTGTTTCAGTCGATCGGGCTTGTTCTACGATCGACTCTCTGATAGTCGATCTTGCTTCAACGTGTTTTTCATCCTGAACAACACTAGTCTCTCTTCTTGGATGCACCCTTCTTGGTGTGCATCCGTGTTCTAGTCCACTCGATCTCTTCAAGTGGTGAAACTTCGGCGCAGCCTGTGTCTCTACACAGATGCCGGAAGCTGGTTCCACAGTGCAGTGGCCTTCTACACTGTGATCTTTTGCATTTGTACTAACGACCGTACCACAAGTGAGTCCATCGCACTCAATCGTAGTACATCCATACGCTTGTGGATGCTCCAAGACGTACATCAGATGGCCATCTGATGGACAAACGGCAGGCATCTGCACGAATCGATGCTGCCAGCTGATCCATGGCTGGTATTTTCTAAGCCATGGCAGACCGAGGATGACATCAAATTTGTCATCTAAATCCAGTACTATGAAGTCATCATCGTACTGCATTCCTTCTAGCAGTGTAGTGGGTTTCCACTACTCGTTTGTTCACTGTTACGGATGCGCCTGTAGCATGGCACACCGTCATCCTCGTTGGAGAGAACTCTCGCTCAACGTGGTAGTGTCTACTATCCTCTAGCGACTGGCGTCGAATGAAACTGTTCGACGCCCCACAGTCAAATAGGGCGCGAAGTGAGATTCCACTTGTCACTTCGATCTTCAAAGTGATGAGGGACACCTCATAACTAGGGGCAGTAACACACAGCGACTGTGTGTTAAGAGCAATCTTCGTCAAGAGACCTGCAAATTCTCTTGACGTTGCTAGATCAGCAGGGTGCTCCGCCCCTACTGACCCTGTCCGATATTGAGGGTTTAACTCGCTGTCGCGACTTAGCGACATATTCAGACCCACACCTTGGACCTTTCCTTGGCCAACGGTGGTCATCACGTTTTGTTTTCGGACGTGTCGCAGTGCTTGGGATACTACACTTATGAGCGTAGTGTACAATCTTCTGGCAGAGGTGGCATCTTGCCGTTCGCTTGTGACTCAAAGAGCGAGATTTCTCGCTCTCGATGTAACAGAGGTCTATTGGTTCGGTATCTCCTATTTCCTGTCGTATCGTCGAACGATAGTTTGACGAGTTAGCCTGAAATTGTCTCAGGCTGAAGTCTTATTGTTCCGCATCCGCTATCACTTTTTCCAGCGTATTAAGGTCATCTCGTAACATGTAGGTCTTCACCGGCCCATCTACAAGGCCGTAGATGAAACGTTGATGAGCGTGTGCTCATCAACAGTGTTTTCTGTGACGCTACTCGCAAGGTAGCGTAGGTGTTTTGCGTAAGCGTGCACGTCACGCTTACCTTGATTGAGCCTAAGGAGTGCAGAGCGTGCTCTGAACTCGGCTCTTGGCGGCTCAAATATCTCTTTGAGCAGAGACTTCAAGATCTCCGACGACTCAAACACGTATGGGTCGTGAAGCTTGAGCCCTAAGGCCCAAGT